AAAAAACTGGGCTCAAATGATCCCAGCTAGGTAGGCATCAAGCCTTCTCTTAAAGACCCCCAGGGTAGAAGCCAGCACCACTTCCCTTGGAAGTTGGTTCCAGATCCTAGCTGCCCTAACTGTGAAGTAGTTCTTACGGTTGTCTAATCTAAACCTACTCTCCAACAACTTGTGGCTGTTATTCCTTGTTATGCCAGGGGGCGCTAGGGGAAACAAGGTCTCTCCCAAACCCTTCTGGTCCCCCCTAGTGAGTTTATACACCGTCACCAGGTTCCCCCTCAACCTTCTCTTGTGAAGGCTGAACAGGTTCAGGTCCCACAGTCTCTCATTGTAGGGTCTGCCCTGTAGTCCCCGGATTATGCGGGTGGCCCTCCTCTGGACCCTCTCAATGTTGCCCACATCTCTCTTGAAGTGGGACGCACAGAACTGGACACAGTACTCCAGCTGTGGCCTGACCAGTGTTGCACAGAGGGGGAGGATCACCTCCTTGGCCCTGCTAGAGATGCACCTGTGGATGCATGACAAGGTGCAGTTGCATGACAAGGTGCGGTTAGCACCTTGTCATTTACACAAGCCATGAATTTGGCCAGTGCAACCCCCTTCCCACCTCACTAAAATGATTAAATAGTTGAATGATGCTCTCTAGATTTAATGAACTTCTTGTATCCTCTCAGCAACCTTCTTGCATTCTTATTTGTACCTTAGTTATGATGAATCTACACATACTATGGATAAGGACTATCCCAAGAACATTTCATATGCTTTCCCAGGAATAAGTGGCAAAGTAGATGCAGCATTTGAGATGACTGGTAAGACTGTAATTTTTTAATCAAGACCTTGAATGAGATATTACTCCCATAAAATGGTAACTAGTGCAAGAATTACATATTTCACTCTGTATATGTGTACGTGTGTGAGATAGCGTAAGCGGGTTAGAGAGCCTGCTGTCTTGCAGGCTGGCTTTGCTCCTGGAAACACCTCAACCAGTTCTTTCAAAGTAAATGTATAACCCTTGTTCAAAGAAACTGGAAAACCAAAACTTTCAGCCCTTGTCTAGGTAGCAGGAGGCCCTTTTGCTCTGGCCCCTTCCCGGTACCAAGTTTATCTAGGTTCCATTCTGCACCACTTCTTCCCCATAACTTGACTTCCCTGCTCTCTCTGGGTTTTTAACACCCTGAGAAGTGAATTGCCTGCAGCTGGGTTTCTGCAATAGAGCTGTCTGTTCCCACATAAAGAGCCAGCCCACCCTGTTTTATATAGCTATACATAGATTTCATAGACATTATGGCTGGAAGGGACCTTGGAAGATCATCGAGTCCAGCCCCCTGCCCCAGGGTCAGGAAGTCAGCTGGGGTCAAAGGATCCCATCAAGATAGATGTCCAAATGCCTCTTAAAAGTGTCCAGAGTAGATGCTGGCAGTAGGACTGCATGTAGTTCCCAGGCAGTTTAAATGTCTCTCCTGAAAAGAGTCATCTAATGACAAAGTATTATTTCTGCTGGGGTGCTTTTATCACAGCTTTGAACCTGTGACATGCACATCTCAGAAGTGGTGTGTCCAGCAGCAATCAGCCATGTCAAGAGTTTGGTTTTGACTAGAAAGGATAGTAAGCTTGGCTGCCCCTGCTGTATAACACAAATAATCAGAAGATAGGTAGTGTTGTAGGAAAAAGTGAATGCTGAAAGTGTTAATACCAAAAGGAAAGCAAACCATTTGCTTCTAGGGAGGTAAAATGGACTCTCCCTGTGTACCATGTAGGGAATTGAGCATGCCAGTCTGTCCTCTGGGTACCTAAATGCTAGGTGTTTTGGCATCTCACTTGGAGGTACCAACCTCCACCAATGGATCAAGCCATAGGTCCCACTAGTATGTGCTTGAAATATTAACCTGTAAAACCATTCTTCTGAATAGGGAAGGCTTGAAGCATTTTCTTGAACATTGTTTAAATGGGGCCTACTGATGAGACCTCTGCTGATCTACACTGAATGATAAGACACATAACCAAATACTGTGCTTGTATCAATTCAGCATTAATAAATGTTACTGAATAATCAGCTACTGTATATCCTTCCTTCAGCAGCTGATAAAATTACTAAGGGAGGTGACCAGCTAACCTTCTGTACTAACAGTTGAGCGGAGGGTAGCACAAAGATGTAGCACATACAGGCAAAACTAAAGAATTGTTAAACTAAAGAATTCCAAGAGTGGCACTCAAGCAAAGTAAGTTTATCTGAGTTCAGTTTACAGTGCACCCCCTGAGATCAGCCATGAAAACCCTGGAAGTGCCGGCCATGAAACCAGAAGTGCACTTCCTGTTTCACTCCTGCCTCAGCAATCAGCCACTGGGGAACCTCTCCCTGACCTCCTGATTGGCGACTGGCTGCTGGGGGACCCCCCCAACCTGTCAGCGACCTGGTGCCTCCCCAGACTCAGGAGGCACCAGTCATCCATGATTTCCCACACAACAATATTTCATGCTATTTTATTTTCAATATAGGTTTCCTGCACTTCGTTATTGACTCCAAATCATACAAGTACGACTACAAATCCCACATCATTGTGGATGTCATTGATGTGGGCACCTGGTTGGGATGCTAGGAAAATTTGGTTAAAAGGCCATCTCCTCAAGAACTTCAGGAAGCATTTTTAATATTTTGATATTCTGTGTCTGATGAAGAATTTAAGAATGAAAACATCTCCACTTGGACAAGACTTCCTTTCAGTCAAGAAGTGTTAGTCATAGCATAATTTAATAAATGCAATATATCAAAATACTGTTTCCTAAATACAAATTATTATGAAATGAGCACCCAGGTTTATAACTATTTGACCATATACTACATTAGGCACTATAAACATTTTCCAATAGGCAAGCATGTGACTGTTTTTCTTTTAATGGCAATTATTATACAAAAAATAAAATAAAATAAAATGTTAAGAAATATGAGTGTCTCCTGTTCCCCCTCCCCCTCCCTGCAGGTAACTGGGAAGATCATAAGACTCATTTACTAAACCACCTTTATTATGTAGCTCTTACCACTGTTTTTGGTTTATATACAGAAAACACAACAGACTCTGAAAGCTATGGTATGAGCAGAGCCCAATACAAGTTTCATGTAGTTCACCTGGAACATTTTCATTCATAGAATCATAGAAAGTTAGGGTTGGAAGGGACCTCAAGAGGTCATCTAGTCCAGCCCCCTGCTCAAACCAGGACCATCCCCAATTAAATCATCTCAGCCAAAGTTTTGTCTACCCAGGTCTTGAAAACCTCCAAGGATGAAGCTTCTACCACCTCTCTGAGTAACCTGTTCCAGTGCTTTACTACCCTCCTACTGAAATAATTCTTCCTAATTTCTAACCTAAACCTCCCTTGCTGCAACTTGACACCATTGCTCCTTGTTCTGTTATCTGCCATCACTGAGAAGAGACTAGCTCCATCCTCTTTTGAACACCCCTTTAGGTAGTTGAAAGCTGCTATTAAATCCCCTCTCAGTCTCCTCTTCTCTAGACTAAATAAGACCAGCTCCCTCAGTCTCTCCTCATAAATCATGTCCCCCAGCCCCCTCACCATTTTTGTTGCCCTCCACTGGGTTCTCTCCAATATCTCCACATCCTTTCTGTAGTGGGGGGGGCCTACATTCACTGAGGAGTTAGATCCCTGGAATAAATGGTACCGGTGGAATAGAAATGGGGGCCACAACCTAAGCAGACTTGAGAACTAAAAAACTAAACTGAACTGATAGAGTATAAATGGCTAAGTGATTCTGCAAAGGAATGACAGCAGTGAGCACAAGAACTAATCTAAGATGGATGTCAATGGAAAAACATGGTGATTGAAAGGAGAGGTGACATTAGACAAGCCTCACACATGGAAATCAGGCAGCTGTTTCCATTGAAGAATGATCAAGAAAAAGAGCAGGGTCCAGAAAACATACAGGGACCCGTATACACCCACAGGTCAACACCAAGAAGACATTTTAAGATACAAGGAAATCACTTTGGAATCAAAACATTGGCAGGCACTTCCACTTTTTGAGGTAGTGTGGTTGGCAAAAACCTTACTATGCCAATTCAGAATTACTACAGACCTGCTGTCCTGTATGGAAGGAGACAGAGCCTATGTAATACATCTAATGGTGCTCCCTGAATGTAACAGAGCATAATCTGCTTTCTGTAAGAGAACCTAGGCTTCCCATCTCCCTGGGCTTAAAAAAGAGATACTTGCTGATCCTTTTTGGAAGAAATACTATGGTAAGATTGAACAATGGGCTATCAGATTGGATTCTGAATGCTTCAGACAGCCAATGTTCTTCTCACCTTCCCAGGGAGTTTTTGCTGAGTTAGGGCAGGGCTTTGTCCTTTGTGAATACAGTACTAGTTTACCTTTTTGAATGAAACATTAAGTGGCTTTCTAGAGGCCTGTTCATTCAACTACAAAGGAAACATTCACACTCTGATGCTTTGGATTTCCCCCCAAGCACCAATTAACCTTATAGGAGTGAATGGACACTACAGGAATGTGCCTACAGCCCAAACTTCCAGAGCCATGGGATCATTAGGCTCTCATCTTTCATCAAAAAAGGAAGCTTCTGGCCCTCATTTTTGGCATTATAATCTGACTAGAACACAGATCTCTTCCTGGGACTGAGAAAAGCCTGAAAAAAATGTTCTTAAACAAGTAAACTGTCCAGTGCATATCAATGGGGAGTTTACTCTAAAACCAACTGCTCTAGAGGGCCCCTGACACACCACCCCAATGAAATACTTTGTACCATTGAAAAAGTGTGTAGCGGGGCCAGCCTGCCCTTTCAACCAGATATCCCATCTGTTAGAATTTAGCTGCTGAAGGAATCCTCTTCTTGACAATCACATCTCACGTATGGGGGGGATGCCCCTTTCATTCAAAAAGTGTAGAAAGCTATTAGGGGAAAGGAGAGGCCTACTCAGTTGCCCCAGCCATTACCACTCCAAATGGTGTCTAACCTAACCCTAAAGTGTCTATAGCCTGTAATTTCCTAAGTACCTAAGATGCCCATATTAACATTACTGCTGCACACACAGAACTACCTCAATGTAGAAAATGTGAGACAACTTCGCTCCAATCTCATTTTTAGGCCTTATCAGGATTCAAAAGAGAGTTCTTCCTCTGCCCACCTTGCCTAGGTCTGTTCCCACACAGGTGAGTGACCTAACCATTGTGTTACAGTCATGCTTAACATTTCTTCATCTGTCAACCTGGCACAATAAATATTTAATAAAACCTTGTAAAATGGAACAGCTTCAGATAGACTGAAATTATCTTTCCTACCCCAGTCTTGCATGTCAACTGGTAGTTAAGGCATTAACATGGAAGCTGGGTGTTCAAATCCCATTAGATAGAAGAGAATTCTATCTAATCTATCTAGGTCTCCCAAATCTTGATATGGTGATCCTCTGGTATAGTAAGAAAAAAAGTCTTTCTCCAGTTATGTTTCTGGATTTGAACATTTCTGGATCCCCACTCAGGTTTCATAAAAATAGCTTAGGCATCTAACTCTGGAAAAGGGAATTATGCTAATCCTGAGTGAATGGAGTCACCTAATACCCAAGTGGGGCATGCCACTGTCTTCAGAATTTTCTGTTGCCTAGGGCAGGTGATTTCCCATTCAGCCTCCTGGCTTTTGTAGATCACTCTTAGTCACTTTACATCTTCATCCCTTGTATAGGGAGTCTACAACTCTAACTCAGACATTGTGAATGCCAGAAGGAAGCATTCAGCATTTTAGTGCTTAAGACCCTTTGCGGATCTAGAACTTAAGGTGTATAAAGGGTTTTGAGACCTTTGACCATTTCTGGACAAGTGTGGATGTTTGGTGCCACTATTTGTCCCCAGGGAACACCTATGCCACACATGCTTTGGCATGTGGCAAAGTTACTTCTGGTGGGGTAGGGGAGGCTGGGGCCAGCACATTTCTGAAGGTTTGAAGTGCAGTCATAACAGTTTGGGTGTGCTGCCCAAATTATGCTGATAAGTGTAATTTGGGGCCTGAGTCACATGGAGTAAGAATATTACAAATTTGTACTGTAATTCTCCTCAGATATTAACTATAGTTTCATGAAGGACAAGGTTTATCTCCAATTCGTTGCTTGGTAGAAAAGCAGGTTAGATGCTATAGAATTTTTTAGTTTTGAATGGCTGCTTGATTTAATCCTATTTGTGATGATAGTAGTTGCTATTTATATGCAAGGCATTTTGTACTCAAAACTAAAGAATTGACATTCCCATAAAAAATACTTGTGTTCCTATGCAAACAAGCATGTAGATCAGAACTGGCCAAATATAATCAGGGCCTTTACTGGGAAGTGGGAAATGCGGGTCCAAAATCCTCTGAGTGATATGGTCTGGATCACTTCTTGGGCAAGTACTAGGGCTGTGAGAAAAAGCACCATTTTGTTTCAACATCCATTTTGCCTTTTCACTGCACAGTGTTTCATTTCAAGTTTTGTTTCATTTCAAAAGCGCTGTTCCGTTTCATTTAATCAAAACTGATTCACTGTTTCGACACCATTTCAATAATGGGGAAGCACAAAACTGCCTATAATTTTCTCATTTCTTGCCTGATTTGGATGAAACTTGCAGGAATAGTAGCCCCTGCTGAGAGCACGATGCTTGCCAAGTTTCAAGGAGACGGGTACAGGGATTTCTGTGAAACTGTACCTCAAACTGTTCAGAACACAACTTGTATCACTTGTAAGTGTGAAGGCACAGAGAAAGCTCAGTTCAAGCAATGCTTTTTGTGCTGTTTTTCCATCCCTCCCCCAGAGCACTGGGATTGGAAGGGACCTCAGGGTAGAATCACAGTCACTGGCCAGCTACACAGTCAATACCAGAGCAGTCCTTCCCCCCTCTTCTTCCTCCCTCTCCTTAGTTTCTCTTTAGCTGCAAGCAAGCCCAGCTTTGAAAGTTGAAATGTTTTGAAACTTTTGAAATGTTTCGACTGCCCTGTTTCATTTCAAGGCTGTTTTGAAGCCTTTCATTTCATTTCCATTTTGCTGTTTCAAGCTCGAAATGAGTCGAAACAGCATCAAAACCAAATAACCAATGAAGTTTTGCACAGCCCTAGCAGATGCATTAACTACTAGGATATTGAGCTAAACATAGGATGGGTCCTTCCTTCTCCACCAGTTATTAGCTGTGGCTTTACCCTGATTAAAGTTTCAGGGACTTACACAAAATTAAGCACTGCCTAAAGATGAAATAGTATTTGTGCCTAGGTGTATGTAAAATAGGGCATTAGGTCAAGACAATTATTTACCACAAATGAATATCATTTCTAGATATAGCTGTGAACTTAATTGATTTTTTTCTAGTTGCTTGCCAAACTGAAACTTCCAAAAATGCTTTTGGGTTAAACAAAATGTTTTGTTCTATCTGAAATAGTTCATTTTTAACTTTGGGGGGGAGGTATTAGTTTTATTACATTTTTAATTGAATTAGGTACATTTAGTCTGGAATCATGATTTTTAAATGAAAATCATAATGGTTCATTAAAAACACGGGAAATAATTCTTTTCCACTTTTCCAGAATGTTCTTATAGTTTCATAGTTTCTAGGG